GCCGATTAAGCAAGTCACTACATTATTATTATCACTAGACCGTGTAGGTGCGCCTCAAAAACTGTCATCTCAAGTAGGCGCAGTAAAATTGACCACACGGCTGCCAAAAAAAGGCCCAAATCTTGGCAGATATTACATCTTCGTTGTTGATCATTCAGTAGGCTACACCACTGATTCCACTAAGCCAATATCACTAATGAACAATAACTAGTTACCCCTCAAGCTCCGGCAAATTTCGTGGATCCTATAGATTGCGTAGACACCGTATCCACACTGAAAGAGACTAATTTAAGCTGACAAATATCTCTTTTATTCATCACTTTCGCACAATCCTACATACGCACACATTTAATACAGTCTCCACGGCACTTCTTTTGTTTCGATTACTGACTTGAGAGTGTGACTTTTATTCTTAATAACATCATCCCAGCATCACCAAAGCAACCGCAATGACTACTAATCAACATACCAAATTAACCTACATTTATTTACTTATTTGCGGAGTCTCGACTCGAAAAACCGACACAGTTTCCGGCACATTTCTATGCCACAAGTTAACAAGCGGCATTAAAATCGCACACTTTATTCCCTTTACTCCCTTCCGTATACAATGCTTTGGTGGTACGACCAGGTGACACGACGACGAGGTGCCCACAATCGGGAATTCACGCACTTCGCCAGATGTCCACCTGGATTATATCCTTCAGGCTTCAACAGTCATTCCAAGCACCATTGGTGATGACGAAATCGCGGCAGCTTGTGATTGGTCGACATGAGTCTTCTGGGCATTACTCATGACTGTCACGAACTCGTTTGGACTGCAGAGCTATGTAGTGAAAAAAATTAGATTAAGAAAATGCAAGACTGCATCCGACAGCAATCCATCTGAGCCAAACAACAACCCGAAACTACAACGTGCCATGGAACACCACCAACAGACCTCAACCCGACGTAACCACTGCCAACTCCCTAGTGTTTATGGCTTGAAAAACATTCGCACATACACTTCCCCTCACTAAGAACAGCAGACGATAGTTCCGGGATTGATTCAAGTCTAGAAGCGCTAATGTCATCATCAAACCCACGACGGCATTACAGACCTGAGTTTCGACCGGATACTTGGTGCGCAAATGCAACGGCTGAAGGTCATTGCGCCGCCGAAGTTCGGCCAGACGAGCAGACATAACTTAGAAGTACGTAGACTACAACTAGGGCTACACTGCTGACATTAGAGCCACTACATAAAATGGCGCAATTTCTCATACTTCGACAGTCCATGAACGTGCTCCTATCCAAATCAGTACCGCACTCAAGCAAGAGACGCAAATGCCAGCAGACGTCTGCGCGGCTCCAGTGTGGATCGCATTACGGCGTGTTCATGCACCTTGACTGGGAAACTGGCCAGCACTTGGGACACACAACAACAGACCACATGTACAAATTTGCCTTTGTTAAGACAAAACACCACTGGAAGCCTGCTCCTAAACTGTACAGGAAGTACGCCTAGTTTTGCATTGCCAGCGCCACAAGTTGAACAACAGCCATGGGTCCCAGTAGAAGACATCACGTTTCTGCATGAGCAGCCTTGAAGTAGAAAGTGCATGGAATGTGAACCACCAGCACCATCACCACAAAGCATGCAGTTACTTTCACAACTTGAAGCCACTTAAAACCCCAAGTGCGTGGATTACCGCCATTCAATGATCACTTGAATTACTTCGATTGGTCGCTAATATAACTTCACCTAGCCTCTCAACGCACATTGCTAGAACACGCGTCCGTCTTAATGTGAATCAGACGCCAGGTGGACAACCATTTTATGACTTGACGAAGGCATTAATAAAGACTTGCATGAGCTGAATGGACACAACTTACACTAGCACCACGGATTGCTCGCAGGCACCAAGTACGTGTGTGTGTGTGTGTGTGTGTGCACACTTTAACACGCTCAATCACGAACCCACTGAATTACCTGAAGTCCGATTAAATCCAAAGTACTGGGTTAACCAACAACCATTACTGGCTGTAAGCACAGACCACTCAACCACATACCCGGTCTTTCCTCAATGGCGCTATTTTGCTTGTTTTCATTGTTGCATTTCTCCATGGACCGGAGGTCCACGCCATCAAGACTACCGGAGACGGATACCCCAATGGACTTCCACTTACCTGACAAGGAGACTAAAAAGGCACAAAAGGAATTAATTCGAGATTTTAAAAGGAAGTCTCGAAAGTGGTGGACACACAATAAGCAGGCGGCAGTGGCTTGTGGTGGATGAGCGGAGAATACCAACGGCTTTCGATGTGACAGTGCAGGACGATTGGCTGTTGAACAACTAAAGGCTAAACAGGGGATATATTTCAAATCTCCTTAGCTACAAAATTGATGAACTTGATGGCGAAGCACCTGAGAGATCAGGTTCTGATTTTGTCAATTATTTAAACGGTAAATGAGATAATTGGCCACGATGGAAACAGAACACCTCTGCTATCGACTCCAGTCAGTCTAAAGCTGTTGAATAGAAACAATCTTCAAAGTACACTGGCGTTGTGAGACAAAGAAACCTTTCCACTGATGGTCAAAAGAGCATACGCGGCATGTGTGGGAAAGAGGCTGGGTTGGGGCCGGGTAGAACAGGTGGTGCTGAGGCGTGTGATGTTGGCACATCCGTCCGACGGCGGTCACGGGCCGAAAGTGGCTTCGAGTTTTGAGACTGGACACACGGGGGGCTGGGTGGTGGCGGAAGCGGAGGAGAGAAGGGGGACAAGGTGGAGGAGACCTGACTGAGGTCGGTGGAGGCCAAACCGTCTGCATCGGCGTCTTGGGCGTCTTCTTCAACTGCAGGTAGACAATCGATTAAATCAACCGAACCTGTGCGACACTATCGATCACCCAGCACTACTGCCCATGCGTGGAACACTATGCAAGCACTGGAAGTCGGAAAGATGACCAAATTAGAGCACCTCTAATGGTACCCCTGTATTCAATTACTCCTGGCGCGCACAGCGCCAATAGCACAGCAAAGTTACATTTGTCCCTAAAATAAAAGGTGCGTGCGTCGTCACGCAAGTAGGACTGGCGCTTCGGTTACCACAGCCAGAGGAATGGATATTTTTCGAAGACATCTAGACAGAAGTATATCTGCAGTGGACTGACGGCCACCCCGTGTGAGTGTGCGTGCATGAGGGCCTGTTTGTACCAATGACTCATCCCCTTTTGTTATTGGCCGCTGTCAGCATTCGCCTGTCACGTACGCGTACCCATACGCACACAAAGCCACTTGGTTGTTTTGACATCAATAAACCGGTTGTGTCCGCTCTCGCCTCTTTTCCACTCTACTCGAGTTGTCTTTCGCTGTTAATTAGAGGGTTGTAAGGTAGTGCTAAGATCAAGGTACTACAGATAGATTTGTTAGAGTGGAGGACAAAGTGAGGCACATTACTGGCACACGGTTTACTACAATTTGTGTTTTGTATTCAGAAATGTCAAAATAACTGCAAACTGGGAACTCAATATAGGATCAGGCGCCTAATCTAGGGTTACGGAAACCAGAAAAGAGGGCAACTGATTGACAACATCGTTAAGGGCGACTTTTCAAGCCCCGAAAACATTTCCTCAGTAGTTAGGTGACGCTTGCTATCAAGTTTATAGCTATATATGAAAAGGAGGACTTGCAGAGGGACTGGATGGGTGAAGAGAGCCTCCAATGGGTGTTTCGGTAACGGCGAGAGTGCTCACGATGCGCTTGCTGGGAAATTCGGAAAATACACACACTGTTTAAGAAAGTATTTGCCGTTACTATCATGGTGAGTCGGGAGGCATGTACAATTTAAGCGGTTCGGACGAAGCTAGGAGGGGCGAATTGTCGGCAAGATTTGATTACACATGGAAGGGACGACTCTTGAACTGATGTTGGAATTGATATTAACTACGACAACTAACGACAACACGTTAGCAAGTAAGCTCTAAGTAGGAGACGATTGTACCAATTTGAATGCCTTTCGCATCAAAGCAATGTCGTGACAGTAAGGATTTGTCTAGTCTAGACGACCACAATGTGAAAAAACTAGGGAAAACGCAAACGTGACATTCAAGAAGCCGTACACAGATTTCACTCGTACAGCCGAAAGCCACCTCAACACCTGATTGTTTTCTC